TTCTCCAAGATACGGGATAGTTCTAGAAACAAGAGGGCGTGAGAATTGTCACGTGATCTCGATGACGCAACAATATGAACCACCAACAAAACAAGACAGAAAAATATAATATACTAAAGAAAATAAGAGATTTTGTAGGGTTTGGCGATGCCCCACACTATTGGTTAATAAATAGTAAAACTGTTGAACACATTTTCACATTAAATAAAACTAAATTTCAAAATGTTTTTTATCAAGCACGCGTGCACACTGTGCTATATCGCCATCTATTTTCGATCGATTTTCCAAGGTTCTGTAAAAAGCTTCCGGATTTATAGGAGGATCCTTTTTGCAATTTTTTTTGTGAAGTGAAACTCCCCAGAAGTGAAGATATTTGGCGGTTTCGGCGGCATTTTTATAATATGGGACTGGAATAATTTGTTTTTCTTCAAAAATTTACACAAGAGCTTTTATCTTTTGGTACGTCTTATACAAATCTATATCGCGCTCTTGTAAGTCCAAACTCAATTCGGATAGTTCTCGGAGAGCATCACACATCAATCCTAGATCCAATAGAAATTCCGAGCTTGTAATTTTTCACTCTAAGCCCTCATATGCACATTTCTCTTTTTCGTCTCTTGTTGAATCAAGCTTCGAAATGTTGCACTAACGCTTCACAGTTTTCCCAAACATCTGAAACTGACTGACAACTAGATGCCATCCATCAAGTGCTTAAAATTCGGCCAATTTTTAAAAGTTGAATTTCCAGCAATTTCGCGCACACTTTCAGTTCTCTGCTAATTTTAGGCGACGCGTGATATAAGACATAAAAGTTTATCAATAAACGCTTTAAATCTGTTGATCCCTGACCTACTGTAATTAAGTCCACTTTTACTCCCCAACATCACGGCTGCACCATCACATGCCACACAAAGTAAATAACTTTTCAGGTAGTCTTCATTCATTAAGTAAGACTGAAGACAGTCGAGTAAAGAATCAAAAATTCCTTTTGCAGTAACATTTTCAAGTTTGATCAAGTTCAAAAATAAATTTACCAGCGAATTCATTCCATTATCCGGGATACAAATTCGAACATCCACTATTAAGGTAGATTTTTTACTGAAAGAAATTGACGCCTCGTTTATCAATGAAATTCTACTTTTCGATTTAGTAACTATATTAATTAGTGTTTTTTTTTTTTTAATTTCATCACTAATGAGATTCACGATGTCAATACATACATTCGTTGTGTGACGGATACGGCCCATGTCAATTCCATTTAGTTCTTGTAAATTTATTTCAGATTCAAAATTAGAAAATGATTGGTTTTCTTCTGCTACCTTATATGCTGTACGAAAAATTCATGTGGTAATCATTTTTTCGCGAGATAATGTTTTCAAACACACATTTTCAATGGTCTCTTTCTCAGCTTCAGCCAACAATTTTATCGCAGCTTTATGTCCCGCGGTATCCTTGTGATCGAAAAGTTTTTTTTTTCTGTAAAGACAGAAGCTGTTGCTGAAGACTTTCACCATAATATGTTATTTCATTGTTGGCCCATTCTTTAGAAACTTTCATTCTTGCCTTCGTCTCCACTCCAAAAGTTCTAATTTTATGGAAAGGGGTACAGCCAAGTTTCTTATTTCTAATATTCAACCAATCATACTTCCTGCAAAAATCTTCTTTTTTTTTAATCGACAGTCCATCAGCTAAGCCAGTCGTTGTCAAATAGCTCGTGGATACCGGATAGACCACGAACAGAAACGGTACTGACGCTGTTAATTCCTGTTCTTAGGTCAGTTCCTCACTTATTCTAGCTTTCTTATTCACAGAAGGTGAAAAGAAACCTGTAATCAGTTTCATTTTTACATTGGGGTGTTTTCTCAAACGCAATGAAAACATTATACACTCCCGGTCACAATAAAATAAAAGTACAGTAGAAGAGAAATGCACACAGACTCAAATTGGTATCACCACCTCGACTGAGAATTTATTCCTGAGACTCACACGCATATTTTTATCTTGGCTGAGAAGGAGATGTGCGATTAATGACGTCAATCCTCTTCGTCCACTTGTGACTAGTGACTTATTTTATTTGAACGAATGTACAGTCCAGGCCAGCATACCAGTCAACTAGGTTTGTGTTCACCTGTTTCCCAGTCGCAAGCGGTCTCTTTGAAACCCAATTGAAACCTTTCAGTCAAAGTGAGACCACTACAGTACATCAACTGATAGCGGCCACGTCTTGTAGGTGTTAAAACCAGGTAACCATTGATGTTCCCTATTAATGGCACACTAATCCTACCTGATGCTTCACACCTCATACTGCACTGATGATCACACATACACGATCAAACAAACAGTATGTTTTCACACGCCTTTAATCTTTGTCATTTGTAATACTTCTAGTTCGATGTCTCTTTGGTCTTCTTGTGAACAAATGATTTGTTCAAATTGGAAAATCACACTTTTTTCCATTACTCTACCAAGTTTCATCACCTTTCTCTCTATTTTGCAACATGAAAACTGGTGCCGGTACGCCGTACCGGTGCGTACCATCTTAAAAAAAAAAGCCCTAGCTCTAATAATATATTTCGACAATTACTAAATTGAATTAGAATAGCATACAAGCGTTTTGTGACTACATATATGCTTCAATATAACCCTTTCAAGATTCTTTGTTGCCATGTGGTGCATCCTTAGCCCCTGACTTTATATTATTATACATGGGTACATCGGAATTGTACAGTACCAATAAGTTTATTATTTGTTTAATTGGTTTTTGGGGTGTTATTGTCTATGTTGTCTGAATTATTTGTGAAGATTAATTAGTTTTTTAAAACTTTATCGTTTGTTTCGTAGTTATATACTGGTATAGTAAATTACAACGTTGACTTTCGTTCAAACAATACTTGTTTTGTGGTTTATGGATTACAAGAGGACAAAAATGATAGCAATAAATAAATAAATAAATATAATATATATATTTTGTTAATTACTATTTAGTTTTATGTACCCTAATCCACTCACAAAGTTACAAAAAAAGTACAGACTCACTAAATCTAATTCAACTTTTTGTACAATGAGTTTTATAATGTATTATTTTAATTCACAATTAGTATAATTATCAAACATAAAAACACACAAAACGTAAATATAGTATTAGATTTAAAATACTTTAAGTGTGGAATTGCCCAACCATTTTTCGAATAATTTTAGCTTTTCAATCGACAGGTGTCCAAGTTTATTTATGTGGCGGCAAAGTTATATGAGAAATGTGAATATAAATATTTAATGTTTTTAAAGTGCAGCAGACCAATGAGCTCAAAGTAATGACTGAAAAAGAAGAGGATAAATCTTATGATTAATGAATTTATACTTCTGTTCAGTAGAAGTAAAGTAAAATATTCTATTTTTGAGTGTTTTTTTTTTTTTTTAAATAATCAGCCGGAATTGTCATTGTACAAATACAATGCTGGGTTAAGCCTAAACTAAAGGCTAATGGAAATTGGGAATGTCACTAACTGAGTAAGTTAGCTTAGGGGTCTACACTTTATACTAATTATTACTTATAGATACCTCTTAGAATGAAGTATTATGGTAGAAGAAAAATAATATTCACAGATTCATACACTTAAACAAGGCAGGGGCTAGCATGTTACTGTTAGCAAGGGCTATTATTAACTCGGCTGTAGTGGTACTGGTACTGGATTTAAACTACTTTCTTTAACTAGGGCTATACAGAGGTGGGGGCTATGATATTACTAGTACTACTATTATTAGTAAAATAGGAAATATAATTGACAGGAAAACATGTACAATAGACATAAAATTAAAACACTGAGACTTGGTTGTATTTGAACAATTTTGATGAGAGAATTTTTGAAATACCAGGCTACAGATTATTTACTAGAGATAGAGTATTAAAAAAAGGGTAGGAGTAGCTTTATATGTGAGGAGTGAAAATTCATCCCGTTGAGTTAGAGCATATTGAGTTAATGTTAGTGGATACAAAGGGAAAAGTCTTGTAATTGGGATTTGTTTTAGACTACCAGGTCAGAATGTGGAAGTTAATGAGAGTGTGTACAATGAGATCAGAATGGTAGCTGAAAAAGACATTATTTTGGGAGATTTTAATTTCAGGGGTAGTGATTGGGAAAATTTTGAGTTTGACAGTGAGGGGGATAGGTTTTTGAAGTTGTTCAGCATACTTTTATACACCAACAGCTATATTAGATTTAATATTAGCATCTGATGTGAATATGATGGAGTTGTGGTTGGTGAGCGACCATTGCGCTATTAGGTTTGAGATTTTACTACATGTAGAATTGAAGAAGAATAGTACCTTGATTCCAAATTTCAGGAAAGCCAATTTTGATGGAATGAGACATGATCTGGCTTCTGTAGACTGGACTAAACAGTTGGGAGGGGATCTTGAACAGATGGGGGAAGCATTTAGAGAAAAATTGATATGCATACAGAACATACATATACCCTCCAGAAAAAAAAGGGCAACAGAGAGAAATAAGCCAGTATGGTTCAGTAAAGGTTTAAAGAGATCATATTAGGGATAAATATAATAAATTCAAGAAATGTAAGCTTACTGGAAATAAGGATTTGGAGGACTATAGGAAATCAAGAGAGCTGGTTAAAAAGGAAGTTAAAAGGGCAAAAACTGTATATGAAAGAGGGTTGGCTGAGAGAGTTAAACCAAACAGTAAGGAATTCTCTAGGAATATGATGGGTAAGCAAATGGTTAGGATGTGGATTGGGCCTCTTAATAATGATAGTGAAGAGCTGATCTCAGAATATTATGAGATGGTAAACTTGTTAAATTGTATGTTGTCTTCAGTTTTTTACAAAGGAAGTACAAGTATTATGCTTCAGCCCGAGCACTTAATGTATGGGGAAAGTATTGATGTAAAATATATCATTTAAAGTTCTGAAATTGTAAGAGAAAAGTTGGGAAACCTAAAAATTGATAAATCCCTGGACCAGACAACTTTTATTCTAGAGTTTGAGAGGAACTTAAGATTTTATTTGTGAACTGCTGGCTAATATTTTTTATAGGTCATTGAGTAGTGGAAGAGTATTAGAAGATTGGAAGTTGGCTAATGTTAGTCCAATATTTAAAGGAGATGATAAACATTGTCCAGGCAATTATAGTCTACTTAGTCTTACATCAGTAGTTGGAAAGTTTATGAGAGTGTGATTAAAGATGCATTGCAGAGTCACTGAAAGCAGTTTGATATAGTGTCAAAGAGCCAGCATGGTTTCACTAAGGGAAGGTCTTGTTTAACAAATCTGACATTTTTTGAAGATGTTACTGCAAGAGTTGATGAAGGAAATATTGTGGATTTGGTTTACTTTGATTTTCAGAAAGCATCTGATAAGGTGCCTCACAAAAATTAAATCTGTGGGTGTGGGGGGAAATGTTATTAAATTGGGTAGAAAATTGGCTGGAGAGTAGAAAGTGTTGATGTAAAAGATATCATTTTAAGTTCTGAAATTGTAAGAGAAAAGAGCAGTTAGATGTGAGTGGATCACAGTTACAAGTGGTGTACCTCAGAGCTCTGTGCTGGGTCATCTGGTGTTTGTCATTCATATTAATGATATTGACTCTGGAATGAATAACAAAATTTTGAAGTTTGCAGTGACATTAAGATTTTTGAGGTGACTAACTGTATCAAATATGCTGCAGACTTATAGGGAGGTTTAGATCATTTGATGCATTGGGCCAGTATGTGGTAGATAATGTTTGACTATCCAAAATTAAGGTGATGCATGTAGGTTTTCACAGTTCAAATTATTGTTACAATTAAAATGGGAATACATTAAATAATGTAGTTGAAGAAAAAGATCTTGGTGTTGTGATTGAAAAATCACTTAAGTCATCTAAACAGTGTATTGTAGCCAGCAATAAGGCTAATTTACTGTATAGATCACTTGTAAGGTCTCATTTAGAGTACTGTGTACAG